CATCCATGAAATAAATTACTCCACAGTTTCCTTTAGATCTCACCAGTTTCCCGCTGAGCTGTCAACAGGTAGCAGGATGGCTCAGCTTAAAAAAAAAAAAAAAGTGTAGATCTCACCAGTTTCTGCTTACTACAGATGATAACTCTATTTTTACCATCTCTTGTTCTCACCTGCATAACAGCATCTCAGCCCCTGAACTCTCCAACCTCCACATTCACTCATTTAGTTATGTAAATTTATCACCTGCTTTGTGCCTTATTTATGTTTGGCACTGGGGCTATAACAGAAAATGAAAACAATCACGTTCCCTGTGGTAGGATGAAATAAGATTTTCATTTAAAGAAGAAAATGCTGACTGTTATGAAGAACTTGGATTGCAGTGTAACAAGAGTGAATGTGGGAATACAAATTTGAATGATAGTGCAATGGTCCAAGCAAAAAAGGTTGGTGAATCAGGATTGGTAAGTAAAGATGGAGAATTCAATAACTAGTTTAGAAGTAGTACTGACTAGGCTTGTTAAGAATTTGCAAAAGGGAAGCGAGGGAGAGGAAAAGAGATACCAAAGTGACTCCCAAGTTTCTAACCTGAGCTTTTGTGCTGATAGATGGACCTGTGGAGGAGCAGGTTTGGAGATACAGCTTGTGAGTTCTCTTTGGACACATTCAGTCTGCAACATCCACGAGACACTCAGATGGAGTTGTCAAACAGGCAGCTGGATGTCCAAGGCTAGCATGAACTGAGGATAAATATTTGGGAGTTGTCAGCAAATGAGTGGTGATTGACCAAGGGAGCGAGAGTAGACTGTCCCATATGAGCTCACAGTCTTCTCTTACCATATGGCACTGGTACCCATGAATAATGTCTGCATCAATGGGGCTGACCCCTAAGAACAGCATTCTCTAGGGGTTCATAGAGCATTCAGTTCTCCGTAGACCTCATTGGCTGAAGCCAGGCTACAGCCTACTCAGAAGTGGAAAATTTTTCCTTCCCCATTCAGCATCCTACTCGGTTATCCAAGCCACAGAGCAGCCTTTTGGCTGTTTCCAGTTCTCCAGTTTATGTTCTCCAGTACATAAGAGAATATTGCTGACAAGTCTCGTTTGTTACCCACAAGCTCAGACATCAACATCTGAGCCAGAGACTGGCTAATCTCATCAGACCAAAAGAAAATAACTGCAATCATATGCCCTTATACATGTGTTCAGTACACCTGCCCAAACTCATCTGAGAACCCATTTAGGCTGGGTGGGTCCCTCCAGCCCCCTCTGCCACCACCACCACCACCACCACCACAACCACCAATACACCACTTGAATAATAATGTTCAAAATGTTCATCATTCAATTTTTCCAACCTTCAGCACCTTCATCTACTTAATGACCCTCACCTTCTACTTAGTAAGGAACTTGGCTTTGTGAAAGGTCTGCTATAATAGAGTGTAGGAAAGCAAAGCGTGAGATATTTGTTCTCAATTTGATAAATAGCCTGTTCACCCGTTGATTGGCACATTACAATAGGAATAACAACAAAAACCACCAAACCAAGCAACCCTCACTTCAAACATGCATGTCTATATGACACCAAGTACAAGGGGGAAGAGCACTGAGGAAAAGCTGTAAACAAAAAAGCCTCTGTGGACAAGGTGAGTATAACAAGGACCGTAGCTAGAACATGTGGAAACGCTTCAGGCCCAGTCAAGAGACAGGTAGTGGCAAGAAAGGAGGCGTGCCCCGCCGGCAATCTGCCTGTGCTGCAGGTCTCTCCTATACCAGCCCATGCCAGGCTCTAAGGTGGACAAAGAACAAGATGCCACCTAGTGTCGTGGGTATGTGGGTGCACATATGTAGATAGGTAAGCAAATAGCTTGCTGCATACCATATAGCACAGGGCTCTATTAGACGCAGACAGAGTATCTAGAAAGGAGGACCTATGCTTCACTCTTCCCAGCAGAACTGGAGAAAGCTTTTTCGTGAGCCCATTGAACCTGAGTCTTGAATAATGTGTAGGCTATCTCCAGGTGGGCAACGTATAAGTAAAGGAGAAATTCTAGGCTAGCGGGAGGAGCGTATTTGAATGCAGAGGTGGAGGAGCAGATGGTGTACCCGGGGTAATATTCTCCAGGTGTGTGGAACATAGCATTAGTGGTACCTGATGGGTTTAGGTGGCATGCAGACACTACATTAAATAACAATGAATTACCTGAAATTGAGAGAGTTGTCTATCTTTTTATTCTCTTTTATCCTTGCCCAGGAGAATTTCTCAGTTGGCGACAAGCATGCTAATCTCTTAAAAACTAATCTTCCTACTTAACGAAATAGAACAGGTTTCAGGCTTAGAGGTTTCACAGCTAACAATATCTAGCTAGAATTTAACATTATTTTGCTTTTATTGTATTTATACTTCTATTCATGGAAAATGACAGTGGCTTTCCATTGACAGCAGTGATATGAAATTTGCTTTCTACACAAATTGAAGTTTTCAAAGTGAGTGACTAAATAAATGCAAATGCAGAAAAATATTAAGGAATACATAAATACACACTGGTGGTAAACTCTTATGGTATGAATTGTGAAAGTGGTATGTGAATATCTGAAGTGTTAGAAATACTCTCTAGGAAAAGATGTTAGCCATTTGCTGTGTAGCTGTCACTAGATTATTCAGAGATAAAGCGTGGTAAAATGGATTAAGTTTAAAGCCAGGAGTTCAAGTCTTTCTTCAGTACTTTCTAGCTGGGTGGCCTTGGGCAAGACCTCTCATGGTCTCTAAGTCTCACCTCCCTCACCTTTATAATGAGTATCGATCTTACAGGAATATAAGGATTAGAGACAACCAATATACAGGTCCTAAAATTATAGACATTATTAACCTCCTTTATTTATAGCTTTCTAACAAGCTTTCCAAGGTTAGCCATGATTGACTTTGACCTAATTTCTCCAATTCTGTGAAACATTATGTATGCAGAGCTGTAATTAGTTCCAGAAAAAAAACTGAATATGCCATTTTTCTTTATTTCTCCATTAACTTTGATAGGAAGTTAAGAAGTCTGCACAACACTCATAGCTGTTTCCAGGTCATTTAGAATGGTTATAAAATTGGGAGGGGGCCGCCCACCCAGTCCAAGGCAGAGAGGATCCATGTTACATTCTAATGTTCTTCTGAAGGCATTTTGCAACATTTAAAAAATAAACTTAAGAAGCTGCAAAACTGTTCTTCTGCGGAGCATTTGAGATCTTGCCCCCAAGCATATGTCATCAGTTTGGCTCAAATAAACTCTTTTAAAAATTTAAACAAACAAACAAACAAAAACTTTAAAACAAACTGTAAAAGCAAGATAGCCAGATCTCCAAAACTTATAATACTGAGAAAAGAAAAAAGAAAATCACTTAATCCACAGTCCACGGTTCCAGCCCCATCCTTTCAGCCACCTCCCCCTCCCCATTACTCAAACCCTCTCTTTTCCCCCCATAATGAGACCTTGAAGAAGCCTGTGGACATGGACTCAGCCAGTGTGGCAGACAACTCAAGAGTACCACTACCTGGGTCTCTGTCTTTCCACTTCAAAAGCAAGCACATGGGAAACAAGAGATTTCCTTGTAATCACAACACTTTGCCTAAGTAAGAGATAAATTGGTTACTAAGTGTAGCCCGCTTCGTGAGCATGGTCTGAATTTCCAGCTCATGTAACATTAGCAAAGCACAGCATAAAAGCAGTTTCCTCTCACACGGGAGTAGTGGTTTTCATTTTCCCAATTATGAATCTCCCAAATTATGCATCGCCTTTTTGGGAAACCGGTCATTAGAGGATTTTCTGTCTGCTGACCTGTGCTTTCACTTCCTCGAAGTGTTTTAATAAGTAGGTCACCTCATTCAAATACAGGACACTGCTAATCTCTCCCATGCAGTTTTGCAGTCCTAGTGACAAGCATGATGCCCAAGCAATTTATGACTCTGGCCTTCGATGTGACCATACATTTATCGTTTACCACTGCCGTACTTCTTTCTAAATTAACCACCAGATTTCACGGATCAGACACAGCGATTCCTTCTAACAATTTAGTACGGTTCAAAAAAGCAGTTTTGAGAAACGCCTTTTTCATAATTGTAAGGGATAGAATGAATGCATGATTTTAAACAAGAAGTAATCAGACATTTTAACAGTATTAATATATATATTTTATATATATATATACATTCCCACATGCTGAGCATATGCTGAGACTTGGAAAACAAGAGATTTCCTTGTCATCATGACAACTTGCTCAAGTAAGAATTAAAGTGGCTGCTAAGCGTAACCTCCTTCGTGAGCATAGTCTGAATTCCCAGCTCATGTAAAATTAGTAAAGCACAGCATAAAAGCAGTTTCCTCTCAAACAGTAGTCAAACGCTAGAGTCTACTACTAGAAATCCTAACTTTGGATTGGCTAGGAAGACAGAAACCTTCAGTGCTCTATCTCCTATTCGCCCCCGCCCCCCCCCTCCAAAAAAAATGACTGGTTACAACTGAATGATCTCAACTCTTTAGTGATCTGCTTAGGGCTATCATAGTTAGTCTACAAAATGTTCTTTTGTTTTGCAAATCTTGGTGATATTAAAAATACATAAGAGAAGGCAGTGTATTTCTAGGGCTTGAAACTTTTCTTTGTCGAGATAATAATAATAGTTTTAAAATCTGTACTTGAGGGTCTAGAAAAATATCAAGGAATCCTCCACAATTTAACTCTGATAAAGTAGCGTAGTCTAGTTAGTCAGAAGAAACAAAAGCACGTGGTTTTATTACAGAAGTTGAACTTAATCAAATGATCCAAATGTTCCAAGTTCAAATAAATCCTCCCGAGCCTGCTTGTTCTTCCGATTGCCAAGTTTGAACAGTCCTAAACAGGGGTGGACCTGTGCCTATAACACACGTAAACTAGCAGAAACTAAATTGCCAAGTGCCCTAAAAGCCACAGCCAAAAGCAAACACCGTTTAACCTTTCAGAAAATATAAACAAAAGAATACCTGTTCTTCCTCTCTTTGGTTTCTCAGCATCGATACATATTTTCTAATTGCATGAAGAGGATATTTTTTGAAATAAGAGAATCTAGACTGAGGCAACAGATTATCCATGGCGAGGAAAGCAAGCAGGGTCTTGTCTGCTCCTCCCTGTCAGCAACCATATGAAATCTAGAAGCTTCCCAATTCCTCAGATGCCTGAAGATTTGCTTGTAGCTCTACCACTTTCTTGCAAACAAAGCAGATGTTCTTCTTGCCGGTTCCTCTTTTGGGTAGAGTTCCTGGTGAAACCAGACAGCCAAGTGTGAACTCTATCTAAAAGCCTCCAGAAATGCAATGCCCAAAGGGCCGTAGGAGCCCGAAGGAATTTAGGGGCTGGTCCACAGAATGCAAATTACTTAGTGGTAGTGATGCCACTGTCCTATTTCTAGCAACAGTGTTCTGTTGCAAGCTATGTTAATATTAGCTAGCTGGTGACTTTCCACACCCACGGACTCACATGAGGTTTAATCTTAATCTTCTGACAGCTTTCCCAGCTCTTAAAGAGAACGTGACATGTGGTTTTCTCTGTTTCCGTGTAGATTTAATATCATTGTGAGCACACACGGACAACCCTCAGCTGCGCCTCCTCTCTGAAGTGTTGATTCATTCAGTCTTGAGAAGCATTTTTTTTTTTAGCGGACTTCTAAAAAAATTAACAAATTACCTCACCTTTAATTGTGATCAAGGAGTTCAGTGTCAGCACTTAAAACGCTTGGTTTACACTGTCCTGCATTATGCAACATACCCAGTAACCAGATATTTTATGTTAATTGAACAATAGCTGCAAACAGATTCTGTTCTGAATGGAAAGGCTTCTCTCCTTGAATCCTTATCTCAAATCCACAGGCTGAATCCAGGAACATTAAATTCCCCCAGGCTTTATTCTGAATGTAAGGGAGAAAAAACATTATACCTTTGCTTTCTAACTATTTTTTAAAAGGATTCATGCTTAAAAGGGGGAACGTGATAAGAGGTCTATGGTCTTAGAGAACATGAAATCATAAAATTTGAAAGTTCAATATTTTCTTTATACTCTATAGACGTCACAGGGTTTCTGAACAAAGTCCCCACGCAGGATTTACTATTATATCATCCTTTTTAACTTTGCAGTAGCTGGCTCATTTCACGGAAACTTTTGGCCACTTTCGTGAGGGACTAAGCTGGACAGCAACCAAAAACCTTGAGATGCAGAGATTTCCTTTTGAGTAGAAAGAAGGGGTCTTTCCCCCTTCAGAGAGAGGACTGCAGGTTGGGGTGAAAGGGGTGGACAGACTTGGGGGGAACCCATGTTGCAGCCCGAGCCATCCCCCAGCAGCCTCCCTGACACTTCTGGCTGGGCCAGCTGCCTTCAGGGAACACACTTGATGGGGCTAATGTGAGCTGTGCTGCCAGCATCCCAGGCCATCTGTCATGCTGGCATCAGGCCCATTTGCAAGGTGATCTTCCAGTTCCACCAGGGCCAGGCTGGCAATTCCAAGAAGTCATTTGCATACTGCCGCTGGGGCAGGCTCCTCGGAGGAGGCCATGCCCTCCAGTCCCCTTTGCAGGTGCACCGCTACTTGCTTACGGAGACTCTTTCAGTCCTCTTCAGTATGCCAAAGACAGCAGACTCTGACAAGAGCCAGAAAGAAGCACTGGCTTGCCACCAGCATGCTAAGGGCACAGTGTTATGTGCTCCCAGCCAGCTCACAGTCCAAAAAAATAAGGAGCGTGGAAATCTGGACACTCTGCCACCTAGAGGCCCTGGAAAGAGGGGTGGCCCTCAAGGCATTGGGAGTAGGCAAAGATGCCATTTAGACATACCCTTGAGAAATCCACCAGCTGCCCTTTTGCTTCTCTCTTTTGAAATATCTAAACCTTCAGAGATGCCTCTTATTGTAGGCAGGAGATGGCAGCCTGCCAAACACCCACAGCACGGCTAGTGATCAAAGCCTTTTCCAGAAGGACGGACACAAAGCAGACTTCATTTCAAATGGTTGTCTCATGATCACCCTTTCCTGGGTTGAGGTGTGATGAAAAGACATGGAGAAGAAGAGAAAACAAAAACATCTCCATCCTGACTAGATTGAGCATGAAAAGTAAAATGGGTGAAACTAATGCAACCAAAATTCCCTTACGTGTTTAATTGATAAATATAATCATAGCTAATATTTATTGGGCCTTTGGGCCAGGTACTGTGCTAAATTCTTTACAGGCATTACCTCATATAATCCTACGGCACCCTCTGAGGAAACTGAGGCTCAGAGAAGGTAAGCCACCTGCCACCATCACACAGCTACAAAGCAGGGGACAAGGGATTTCAACTAGACATGCTGACCTCACAGTCTTGGTTCCCAATCAGTCCACTGCACAGCCTCTTAGCCCACAACTGGAAATGGATTTCTGAGCCACTATCTATAGATTCACCTGAAGAAGGGAAGGCATTGTTAAAGAGAAATGCAAATATAGGTTGCTAGGAATTTACAGACTGAGATTCTTGAATAGAGACCAGGTACATCTTCATGAAAAATCATACATCTTCCTAACCCGGATTCGCTATGAGTATTCGTAAGGCTAACACTCATTACTTACCTCCTGAAGGTTCCTTTATGAAATGACTCCAGTGATCTTGAAAAGAGGTTGTATTTGTAGACAGGTTTTCAGTTTCTCAAACTTTGAAAACTGCTGTCCTCTCAGTTTCTATTTGACATAGGTTATAGTGGTTCATTTCTCTCAATATTTAATACAAATACCATGTGGACTTTTATATACCCTGTTTCTCAGGTGAGGGCATAGACCCTTTGTGTTCACAGCATGGGCATCTCTGCCATCTCAGCTGGAGGGGTGCAGTTCTCATTGCCACTGTGACTCAGTTGCCTTGGCGAAAGGCAGTTGACCAGACTCTTGGTGGCTACAATGTCCGTCTGCAAGCACCAAAAGGTCCTAAAGCATCTGCCTCAAGTGATATGATACAAGGTCTAGTCTGTCCCCTGCAAAGTAGCACAATAAAGAGTAGAAGTGATTGTTTGTTATTTGTTCAATTCACTCCCACCCCCTGTCCTCTATTCGATAGAAAAATAACAAACAGAAACCACAAACCCCGCAAACTCACAGATCAAGGCTGCAGGATATTTGTGTGTTCTCTTTGATTTCTAAGAATTATCTCCTCTCTCATCAATAGCTTAAAATATGGGGAATCCCAATTTCTTCATTTGAAGAACAACATAAAGAGGTCAAACCAAAGCCAGGAAAAATAGTGACAAGGGGGTGAAGGGAGAGGTATGTTACAGTTTACCCCTTTTCAAATGTTGAACATGTAGGTTTCTGAAGCCATTGAGCACTGTGCACTGCACACAGGAGGCACTTCACTGATGCATACCAATACATACTTATTAAAGGGGAAAGGCAAAGAGAAAAGAATAGGACCCAGGTGTGTAAATCGGGATGAGAAACAGCAAATGTGTCTCCAGGATACCTTTGAGTTAACCGGGTTTCTGAATTGCATCAGAACAAAAACTAAAATGCCACTAATCCCCCGTTCTTTCTCCTTCCAATCAGAGCTGAGTGTTTCTATCAGGAAAATGACTCCATTCCCTGGGAATTAATCCAGCCCAGATATAAAGTGAAGGGCAGGCAGTTAGAATGATGGAGAAGCAGCTAGCCCAGAAAACAAAAACTATTTTTTATTATGAACTCCACTGAGAAATCACTCTCATCCCACTACGTCTGTGGATATTGGCCCAGTCTCTTGCTCCCCCAAGAACAGGTTTAAATGAAATCAGGAGAGAGGAAAGGGAAGCATTTACTATTGCACGTCAAGACAAGTTTAAGCAGCACCGACATTCCACGCCTTTGCGTGATTAAAGCACTTGTGCTACCTCATATAACATTTTCTTGGTGCCCCTACCACATAGGGAGTAATTATCTCACATCTGCATATGGTACGGTTTTCCTTTCCCAAAATCCATGTTCAAAATCCCCCTCCGCTCCCATTATAGCTGCAATTCAACAACTTTGATGTTTAAAATTGCTCTATGAGCTGTACAACTCTTATGCCTTCTGCTCTCTTGTTTCAAGTATTGATTTTTCAAATTTAACAATAATGCACCCATGGGACACTTGTCCCCCACTTAGGAAAAAAACATTTTTCTGTATAGTTTAGGCCAAACTTGAACATGCATCAGAATCACCTGGAGGGCTGCTTGAAGACCTCTGGCCCCACCCTCAGATCTTCTGATTCAGTAGGTCTGGATGAGGAGTGAGGTTTTTGCATTTGTAACAAGTTCCCTGGTGATACTGACAGTACTGGTCTGGGGTCCTCCCTCTGTGGACCACTCCTTTGGGCACTGTCAGGTAGGGATGGAACTGTAGAGGGATTTCTCAGGTGGCATTTGGGGGATAGATGCCCTGTTTGCTAGAGCACTTTGAGAGCGCCCATCAAATCCACATTTAAAGCACTTCTCCAGTAGTTCTGGTTCCCATCTCGCTCCCCACCCCCACCCCTCCACCCCATCCCCCGCCATTTGTTTTCTAGTAGCCACTCTTCCAAGAGAGGGCTCCTGCAGTTACCAAGCTTCCAATGGGCCTCCCACCGAGTTCTGTCTTCTCAGTGATGTCTGAACTGATATCAGATTGCTCTGAAACTCTCTCTCACTCAGTGCCTCTTATCAAGTTGCATGGGCACTATAGGTATTCTTTGCTCAGGGAGATCAACCCTTTCTTTAAGCCCAGGGCCAGAAACCAGAGCCAACTCTACCTAACATTCCCTCTCTCCCTCTTCTGCCACTAGCTCCTTGTTCCTTTCCTGATGGGGAAGGAGGAATCTCAAACCTGGAACAGAGAACGCAATCACACCAAGAATCTCCAAACTCACAGCCCTCCACAAACTTATCCCCAAGCATAACCTGCTTATCTCTGTCTTCAGTGCAACAGCGGTTTGGTTTGGAATAGATCCTCTACTAGCTCTGTCTCCTTCACCCAGTCTTGAGTTTCCACTCAGGATTTAACTGCAAAAGATTCCTTTAATAGAAATATAAATGCCCCAGCAGGCTTACTGTCTCTGATGGATTGGGGCCAGGCTTTGGGAGCTGTGTTGCCTTCTCCTCAACACTGAATTTCCTTCCACCTTCCCCTCAGCAGCCATGCCTCCCTCTTCTGAGAAGACTAACACCAACCCAGAAGACCAGTAAGAGGTATGTTCTCTTTAAGAGGGGACAGCAGGGGTCCAGACCTGAGGGAACTTTTAAATTGGTGGTCATACCTACAATTCTGAATGAAAACGTATAACATGGTTTTAGAAATAAGAAAAATACATTTTTTCCTTAAGTAAAATAGCTTTGCCTAACTAGGAGGATGGAGGGATGAGGTGGGTGGAGTAAGTTGATGTCTTCCC